TGTACTGAATGTCAGCAACGCACAATATAAGCAGTCATCGACTTACAGAGCGGAATTTCTCATTGAGCATAAGAGGAGCGAAGAAGCAGTTTGCTATCAAAGCAAACTATGGATGGTTTGAACGCTGACGTGACTCAAGCAAAGATATCACTCACCGCCCCGAGGGGTGCAACGATGGAAGCACTGTTCGAGAAGCTCATCATTAGTAGATGAAGGAACACCACTGATGTGAGGTGCAGAAGAGACGCACGGTGCATAGGCATACGAAAGGAAATTACCAAAACTCTCCTATATTCATCAAAATGAAGCCAAGCCACCTTTAAAGGGGTCCTGAGATAAGCATCGATGCCCAACATCAAGCACTAACCACTCACCATAATCTAGACCTAAGATAAGCCGTCTCGGTGCGTCCACTATGGCTATACTCTGCATTCGCGTCCCAAGAACCTCATCATCAAAATCATCTATATCCTCTCCTTCCTTTCTTCCTCATGTACGCTCACATCGTCTAAGAAAGCACGATTTTCGTCCTCGCGAGGCATTCATCTCTGTCGGCGACTCCTACAGCTCGAGGATTAGACTCTGCGATGCCTTCAACGCCGACTGTGACGGGGTAGAAAATACCTCCAGACCTGATATGAAACGGGAGGAAATGGCAGCACCATAACGCGCTAAAGATAGTCGATTTCGAGTCTTCAGAGGTGTGGTATCTAGAGGAGGCCGTGGTGCAGATGGCCCACCGAAGGGTCGCATTCGGCCGAACAATCCTTTACGCGACGACTTTGTTGGTGCGGATGGTTTTGGTGGCGGCCTCGTGGGCTTTGAGAATGGAAGACCAGTTGACTGTTCCTCTATCCTTTTATGTGCCAATTTCTGCGTATTGAGTGCGAGTGAAATGACAATGTTACCAGAGATGGCGACAGCAATTCCTATGAGCGAGGCGATCTGCGTAGAATAGCCTTCCATGCCAGGTCCTGCCTCACGGACGGAGGACGTCATGTGTGACCCCGCTCTTGATATGTGCGTACTTCGTGTGTGAAGCACCCGAACAGTGGTCACGTGGGGGTGGCACTCCCGTTGACACTCGCTCGGATGTCAGCTGTTGGACATGAAACCTTGCCCAGAGATGCTCGTTTGATAGCTTTATTACTAGCATCTTCTCCTTCAATAACGGATGCCCAGCCGGGAGTTCTGACACAACTTCTTGAATTTGCCCATCGTGAGGAGATTGTTTACCAGGAGTTTTGCATCCTGCCTCATACACCACCATAGGGTACACTGCCCAGGTACTTGGAGATGCTTTGGTCTACGCAGACCACGCCGGAAGGCCGGGGTCTGTGCAGATGGATGATGTTACTCTTGCTGTTCAGTCAAGAGTAGGCTGGGAGTTCGGTGGACGCGTTCCAAAGGAGGTGAAGGACCAGCGATTGCTTTCTTTGTTTGGTTTCCCGTTTCATGGGATTCTCACCGCTTTTTACAGCACATTCTTTCACTTGCTGCCAAAACCAATGCTGAGCCTCTTCCCCAAATATCAGAAACCTATGGTGTCCGCCTTCCGCCCTCAAAGTACTGCCTTACGGCGGTAGATTTCGATCTTGTCCCGAATAAGCCTCCTCCTCAAGATTCCTCAGCATACCAGGAGGAGGAAGAGGAAGAAGAAGAGGAGGATTATAATATGGATGAGGACCCACGGCCTGACGGCCTGTTAGCCCTCGAAACTGGCGCTACTGGAGCCTCATCCGATACTCTTGGCCTGTCCACCGGTATACGTATGGAAGGTGAAGAAGAGAACGAAGAAGGTGCTGTTGTGGAGGAAGGTGGAAGTGATGATGACTCGGGCGAAGGTGGAGACGGGTTATTCGATGACGACGGAGAGGATGACGAAGAGGATATGCAAATGGTGGACATTCAAACACTTATCACCCCAGGCATCGTACCTACTGCTGGAACCTCATTTTCGGCGACAAACGGGGCACCGCAAGCGGGCGACAAGAGGAAATTGAATGAAGATGACGAGTATGACTGAGCCGTTGCACTCTGTAGAAGCTGGAAACCTGCCTATGCACTCTGCTGCCTTTATTTTCCTCTATCATTATTTTCGGTCCCGTGTATAGTTGTGTATTTTTCCTTCTGATGCCGTCGTTATTTGACGCGTTGCCCGTGGTATATTGGCATAACGAAATGCACACGCAAGCAATTTGAGTCCCAGAATAATAAGACAACACTGAACGCGCAGGCTCATGCCCCTCTAATACATATCCGAAGATGAAAGGCAAAGCATCCAAGATAAAGTGATGAAAGTTCGGGCTCCAAAGAGACAATTGCAGCAAATGCTGCCAAAGATAGTTGGAACAAAGCCCGTAAGAGGGATGGACTACAGAGAAAGGGTCAAGAAATAATATTTAGTATGAAGGGCCATCAACGGGAATACAATGATGGGAATGATGAAGCCAAATAATGGTGACAGGGTAAAAACGCAGCAGGAGCACCGGATCAATTCTGAATGAGAACACAACAAGGGATGAAATTTGCCCTTCCCCTGGGCTCAGTTATGACGAGACAAGCTCTTCCATACGTGATTCTCGTGTGCCCCTCTCCGGGGTTCGTTCACCCGAGACAGTGGTCCCTCTCGACGATGAGCTCTCCAACGCACCACATGGTCCCGAGCTCCCTTCCTCATCATTCACATTCTGTCCACCCCTTTCCTTACTTCCGCGGGCCTGTGGTGAGCCCCCAGGTGGCGGGAGATCAGCAAGGGGTGCGTGATCATCTGTTAAAGCCGTATCTGTCTGTGATGCACATTGTGGCTCAGCCGAAGAAGGTGGATTAGATGAGGATGATGTGAAATGTGACGGATTAATTATGTCTATCGGGAGGGAATGCAGGAGATCATTGTTCGGCGGCTGGTATGGTTTCCCAGTGAGTTGGGCAATTTCGCGACGGGCAGCCACAAGTTCGGCTTGGCTATGTTCATACGCCCGCTTCAATTGACCTATGTATTCCACCGCTGTGATTGGGGGGATAAACGTTAGTCCCGCAAAAGAATAACACGAGAAGGAGACGAACATTTCGTTAGGATCTCCCATTTGGAGGCTTTCATTGTCCTGTCCTCAGGTAATTGATCCCTCAATTCATCGAACAGCTCCTTCATCTCTTTCCTTCGTTTGCGCTCCGCCAACTTGTGACTCACCCGCAACTCGGGACTTCTCGAATAAGGGGATTCACCATATTTCGTCCCGTTACTCCCATTTGATGGTAGATTTATGTTCGTAACGGCAGCGTGTTCGTGGAATGGCCCACGGGAAAGGGCATTCGACGTATTAGGACTCACTCTTCCGTGACCGTCAATGAGAGGGGAGACAGGTGATCGAGAGTTCGATTGTTTGAATCGAGCGCCATCACGCCCGTTTTTGGATATAAGGATGTCAGAAACAGACATGCGGCGCTCGGAGTGTTCCGGAGGCGCATGTAATTGACGGTGTCCGCCATTTGCTGCCTGATCGGTATTTTGGGAAGAAAGAAGGTTAAGCGGTGGAAGGGAAGGAATCCCTTGTCGTTGGTGGCTGCTTGGTGAAGCTTTTGGTGCAGCGTTCTCTTCAGCGACTGACTCGAAGGTGGGGAGCGACCGATTGTGATGAATCGATGGTAAATGATTAGACTCCACGTCCGGGATGGGTGGTTGAAGTGCTGCAGGCGATCGCCAAGAGTGACTAGGATTTGGTCCACCGGAATCTTGCGGAAAAAGGGAGGCACTCGTACTTTGGCTACCGAAAGATGCGTCGCTGTAAAAACTAGCTGTCGAGTCCCTTCGAGTTGCCCAGGAACTTATCGATAATGGGCCACCAGGTCCCGAAGACCTCGACGAATCAAGCGAATGAATGGAATGCACAGAATGCCTTCGCTGATCGTACAAGCTCAGCTGCGATATCCGCACATCAAATGTTGACCCCCTCCGCTTAGCAGGAGGAAGGGTATGGTCCTGCTCGCCATCATACGCCATCGGTGGAATGAAAGCGTGATGGTGGGAGGGACCATTACTGGATGAAGACGACGACTCCTCGGCAAGACTGTATTGGGGGCCAGGGAGCGGGGAAATGGCGGAGCGGTCGTGTGACATCTTACGTTTCAGGCCCGAGTAGGGAGATGAAGGTTGTAATAAGGATGATGACAAGGGTGTCGTAAATGTTGATGGCCCTGGGAGAAGAGGAGCCGAATATGTGTGTTGTGGCAAAGGGAGTGATGGACGTCTCGAAGAAGCGAAGGGCAACGGGGAATGACGTTCTGAGGGCGGAGGAAACGTACCCAATGAACGTCTTGCTGTGTGAGTTGGCCCCCGGGACTCCTCAATTTCATCCTCTATAGGCGGTGGTAAATCTCGCCCATTAGACCGTCCAGGAAGCCTGTTCTCCGAACGATAACCGAGAGGTCCTCCAAGTGAGGAGGGGCGATAGTTTCGACTGTGCCCGTCCAGACCAATGCTCTCTTGCGCGTGATCATGGGTGGTAGGGGCAAGGGGGTCGTCGATATCGCCTTTTGCTTCCATAGGAGCTACAGAGATATTGGAACGATAGAAAATGGCGGCGTTCTAGCCAAGAGTACGTTACTGAAGTGGCGATTGCAGTTCCCAGACACACTCAGGACACTGAACGTAGTGTATGAAGAGACTAACAATCTGGACCACCAATGCCAAGCGGGGGCTTCAAAAGAGACGAAAGGTGCTTTAATAGTTGAAATTGGGCCTATTTTAACCGTTGGCAGGATGGCGGAGAGGTTGAGAGGACATGAGCGAGAGAACGAATTCCATTTGCAAATATCAGGGAGAATGAAACCACGCACGTGCTTTTGTGGGAGAATCTGGATCTGGATCTCCCTCGTCTATCGCCACGTTGTTTTAATCCCCTTTAGACTGTCTCCGTTCTCGGGCGCAGACCAGCTCGAAGGTTGTTAGAGGCTGGGAAGATTGGTCCTGACTTCGCGACTTCGCAGAATCGCCATCTTCCAGTGATATTGTTCGCACACAGCTCCCTGGCAACAGCTGCGCTTGACACATCAAAAAGTACTCGCCCCGGGTTAACTTTACCGCACACGTCCGTCGCTTCGAAACCATCTGTGACTGCACAAAACAATCTTGCGCGGTTATGCGTATGCCTCCCGGAAGTGCCCACTATCTCAACCTGCCACGCTGAGGATTTTCCCGCCGGCAATCGTCTTTTCTGTCTTGTTTGCCGCAATATTCCCCTAGGTCCCTGGTTCTCGGGTCGCGATTTCAAGGAAGCGGGATTCTAAAGGTTACCGCCCAACTTGCCAAAATTGGTATGCGTGTTGTAACCAAGCTGATGCATTCATGCCATGAACTCTGATGATTAGTGATCACGAAAATCACGGAAGTAAACGTGGTCTTTGGACTACTTTCCAGGATTTACGAATTCAAATTGTCTGATGGCCCACCACGTCGATCCTTCGCATACAGGAATAATTTCAGTCATTCCTCCGTTGACAACTACACTTGCCCTGACGTCGACCGACTTTCAGAAACCCTTCGGGTTCGGGTCGCTCTGACCTCGGTCGATCGCGGTTGATTATTCCATTAAACTCCACATCGCAGAGTAGGCCTCGCTTTCTCTTAGCAAGAGCGACTTCTTCTGGGTTCTGCTCCTGTCTCTTTGAGACACATTGATGGAAGTGATCATGCGATGAATCCAATTCATATAGTCCAATTCGGCGACCTAGGCTGCTGCGCAAGATGCCAGCCTCTGTCAGGCGATGCCTCGTGATTTTAAGGAAGTATTTCGCAGCCCCCAGCCGGGTGAGGCACCCCCAAACAGTCCAGTCTTGTAGCACGTTCCTTGAGTTTTAGTGAGGCGAATCACGGCTCTACTTACACACGGTGCATGAGACGTCGAAAGCGTCGTGCATTTCACTTAACGGGTGGGATTTTCCCATCCCAGACCGATACTTCCTATATCTTTGGAGAACAGCTATCTGACCATCTGGTTGATTTTTGATATCTTCCACTTTCGACCAGCCCCCTCATGCTTTGGAGGTGCGAGATCTCTCTCCCTTGTCTTTGATGGCCGATCCTTAATTAGTGGGGCCCTTGTTTCAACATTTGCTCCAATATCAGCAAAAGTCTCCAGGATCTTCGAAAGGGTAGCAAAAAGAAATTACCATCGCCTACGTAAAACTACTGGTTTCGCGACAACCCCATCGGGGCCTGGAACTCCGCACGGTATTGTAAACCACTGCTCTGACCCTGAACAGCGGAGCTGTACCCGGTCCCTTGTCCCGACATCTTCGCTGCGCCCACCAACGAGAAGGCTCCGCTCCCCCCGAAAGGCAACCCTGTGATGCACATGGTTTACTGGCTGTTCATGCTAGAATGTTCCTGGACTTATCTTTCAGGGACTATTGCCCCTAACCTCGCTTCTCGCAGATTTCTGGGTCATCCCTGCCATCCTTACTGATAGGCGATGTAAACTACCAGTAGAGCAAGCTCCTCTTTAACTCATCCTGCTTCACTGTGCCCTCAATCAATGCTTTGTCCCTGGACGATACACCCCGCACGTGCGGTTTCGCCACCGTCGATACCCTGCCCGCCCACGCCCTGTGCTAAGGGAACGTGCATGACCGCTGACATGGGACTTGAGGAATCTGGGGCAGTTGTTTCCCCTTTGGGGTTGAGACGAAGATGGATGACTTGTTCGCCCAAGCGCGAGCCAGAATTGTTGAGCAAGTTCCCCAAGAATCCCAAGCGATCAGGGGAAAAGATCGAGGACGCATGGTGCAATATCACTCGTGGCCGTGGCGCGTTGACCGAAAAAGCTACACACGAGGCAAAACTATGCCACTTGAGGGTGAATCGCGACTAAATAATCCATGTTTTTCTCTTTCTTTTTCCCCCATTTTTTTCGACATAAACGCCACGTAGAATCGAGGGTCCCGACCCTCAAAAGTGGATCGCACATCAGTCCAAAATCATTCAACTCTGGGTAGCAGGTGCATTCATCCGCCGTATCAGCTTATCACAGACGCGAGCAGACTAGCATGAACCGAACGGGACGAATTTGGACCAGGAATCTCTAAGGGTAGATAAGCTAAGATTGGTCTAGTTATCACCAAACTGGGCCCTTAACCACTCCCTATGGTACGGCAGGATCTGTTCGGCACAGCAACAGGGGAGTTGTTGGGTTAATACACCCCATCTTCAGGACACAATGAATATAGAACTCGGCCAATTCCGTTACGACACAGCTGAGGTGTGACTAACAAGCCCTCCCAGGCGATCAAAGGCAAATGAGATCAGAGGGACCGGGGAAAGGAAGATGAACAAGGGGATTGAACAATAATGATGTTAGCCCCCCAGCTTGGTCCCCATACGATTGTGCGGTCATCCCTCGGCATGTCGTAGCGGATACGTGAGGATCGTCATTAATGCTGGTAGGGCGTACTGAGTTGTTGCAGTCGGGTTCATGTATGTGATCGATCCTCGGGATTTGTGTCGTTGTCGTTGTTGTTGTTGTATTTTGTTACCCCGCGGCCCCGCGTTGATATGTGGCAGTGTGGCTATCACTGCAACTGAATGTGCATGAGGAGATCGTCAATCTATGGTAAGGGTGACTGGTTAGTGTGGTCAGGGCGAAGGAGTCCTCTGGTTTGTGGTGTCGGGGTGATTTGTGCCGCCAAGCATGTTGTGGGTTGGCAGATGTTAGTATTTATTTGTATCGAGGAGTCTTCATCGAATGTCGAAGCTGAACTGCAGCATTCAACCATTGCACTAGCCACTATCTCCGAACGTGCAAACGTGCGCCCCTGAGCCTTGGCATCAGTTGGTGTTTGATATTTGCCGTCGAAATCCCGTGACTGTGGTAGGACTTGGTCCTGCCTTTGTTCTCGCTTTGGTCTCACATAAATCGCCACTGGTCTTTTCAATCAAGTTGCAAGTACTGTTCGTCGTTGGTAACCCGTGTCTGTACCCCCTCCCCCTCGTCACCTTGGCCATGCCTTCCCAAAAACGTACACGCGAAGACTCCGGCGACCAGCTGGACAGTGAGGTTGTGCAGCATCGCCCAGAAATCCATGCCAACAAGAGTGTGTGCTAACTTTCTCCACTTCCCTCCTTTGCTTGACACTTCCACCAGCGAATAAGGTCTCTACTCTCACTCAAGAGTTCAAAACAGAAGTCGAGTCAATGCCAAGAATCTGGTTGATAGATGATGAAGATATCAACACCCAAACAAGCCGTTTCTCGCGTTCCTCATCTCCATCCCCCATTCCATACGAGCCCAGTCTTCCTCTCCGCAGCTCCGACCCATCCACATCCAGTCATTTGGATGCGACATATCATCCAATCCCATTGAATCTCTTTTGTGATACCATCTTTGGTCCTTGGATGCAGTGTACCAAAGACGGAGTCCGTCATGTGCCTGCTCGGCGCGAATTTTACGGAGATTACGACTTCGAAGCTGGATTCTGTCCACCCCAGCCATATTTAGACGCGTATAAGAAGTACAATGCCTCTTTTGACTCAAGGGAAGGAGCGTCGAATCGTAGAGTGTTACTTGCCAATTTGCTCAACTCTATGTTGGACGAAACTTCTCCTTCGCTTCGGTGTCATACAGAGCCCACAAAAGGCAAAACGGATGAATGGCCGGAGACGATTATGGGTTTCCGTTATCAAGACGTACGTCCCATTGAGGAGTTATCTGCATTGCACCACATTGTAGTTGCAGTAGACGTTCAGTCGATGCCGGATGATGCTGATGACCTTGACGATGACGAAGAGTATGACTATGAGTATGAGTATGACGAGGAAAGTGATGATGACAATTGTAGGATTTATCCTCCCTATCCGCTGCCAGGGGAGTTTGCAGCAGAGCATGCGCTTCCTCGCTATGCTTCTCGACTTCGATCTTATGCATCAGCCATCTCCCGTTCAGGATGCAGGCGCCATGTCCTCGGCATCCTCGTTAGAGGTGCCTGGCTCTCCTTATACGCCTTTGATCCCAGTGGGGGCGTCTATACCCCATTCATGAGTCTTGTCAGCGAGTCCAACACAATCATTAATGTTCTTCAACGTCTTGCAGCATCAGACCCTGTAAGACTTGGAATGGACCCCACCTTTATTTCGGACAAATTGCCTTCCCATACTGCGTTCGGGACCCTTGCGGGACGTTCGATCATGATCGGGGGCCATCGAGTAACGCTTACAAACTCAATTTATGCGGAAGGAGGGTCAAATAGCTGGGGTGCCACTATTTTCGAAGCCAAGTGCCAATCCGATACAATTATCGACCTAGCGGGGCGTCAGCGCAATTTCAGGTGTGGTCCCTTACCCGACAAGGCGCTAGTCAAGATTCATTGGAAAAAGACAACGTTCGATGAACCCTACGCTCCCATCGGAAAGATGCTGACGTATTTACCGGGCGCAACCAATGCTGAGGTTAGGGTCACAGAACTACGGTGCCGACTGTCGGATGGGATTCGAAAAGAGTTGCGCTTGGGATTTTTTGAAGATTACTGGGATATGGAGCAATGGGTCGAATTCATAGCTCCAAACAGCTCAGCCGTCAACTTCGAAGAATTCAAAGCCACCTTCCTCAAGTGCCAGTAATTTGTTGCAATCAGGCTGTTCTGTATGAGTTTTGGCGCTTGTATATTTAGGTCGTATTTATGCTACATATGTTGAATGGGTGTCAACACTTTTGCTACATAAGCATCCAGTGCTACTTACCATTACCCCTCAACCTTGAAATGGTTTGAATTTTCAATGCTGCTTGCGTTTCAGCTAGGTCAGTGGCACAAGATGGTGATTGCAATACAATGTGAGCCCAAAGGAATTCACGCTTATATTAGTTGAAGTGATGTCGTGACATGCTTAACTTAACGAAGTGTACGCGACGGGAAACAGAAAGTGTCTAGTTGGTGCGGTAGAGAGCGCGTTTTGCTACCTTAGCGATAAGAGGAGCATCCGGGAAGGCAAGGGCTTCAAGGCCCGTAGCGTACTAAAAAGTTATGCCAATGAGCATGCCGACCGCGTGCTCTAGGGAATAATCAAGTGGACGCACTGGAGTAGGGACATCAGCACCTGTGACGCGCTCAACTGGAGCATCTAAGTAGTCGAAAGCTTCTGATTCGACTATTTGAGCGCAAATCTCGCTGCCGACACCGAAGGCGGGGAAGCCACCCTCGACTGTGATAAGCCTAAAGGTGGTTGAGGAGCTGTCAATGAGGTTCTCGGGCAGACGCACCTGTTGGTCTTTTTAACGGACTTGATAATCGTCTCGATATCTAGTGGTCTGATACTCCTCAGGTTGACAACCTCGGCTTTAATGCCCTCCGCCTCTAATTGCTTCGCAGCATCCAAGCTTCGCGATACCATTAGGCTGTGGGCTACAATAGTGACGTCATTGCCCTCCTTTTCGATCTTGGCCTTGCCGATTGGTAGAAGGAATTCATCCGACATAGCTTCTGCAGACATTGGGAATGCAATTCCATACATCATTTCGTTTTCAAGGAAGACGACAGGGTTAGGGTCACGGATAGCGGACTAGAAAGCGCATGGTCAACATAAAAGTCGGTAAAGAAAGCCACGATGCGCACCTTTAACAATCCTTTGCAATCTTCTGCACTCCATGGGCTGACCACCTTCAACCCCGGTATTGAGCCATACCACGCAGCGTAATCCTGGGAATGTTGAGCGCCGACACCAGCGGCAGCCCCATTGGGACCTCTGAAGACAACGGGGCAAGGGACGTTCCCACCAGACATGTAATATGTCTTGGCACCGGAATTAACAATATGGTCAATTGCCTATGCCCAAACGTCTGTAAGCCTCAATCCTATGCAATCTTCTTATTATTATTCGCTTGCCTGCATAGCGAAGTTGAATGTCATGAACTCGCAACTAATTGACCGGTTCAAATAGGCTCAGGAATATTAGTGCAAGATGAGGTGTCACTGACATTGGGCGAAGACCTGCCAGTGCAGAACCAACTGCTAGACCAGCGAACCCCATCTCAGTGATAGGTGTATCGACAACCCGTTTTTCCCCGAACTTGTCAAGTAGCCCTTTGGTGACCTAGTTAAGCATAAGGCTCATATGAAACCGATGACAGTTTCGGCAACAAAAAGGCTGACCTTGTATGCGCCATTGTACCTAGCGACTTCCTCCCCCAAAACGAACACCGTCTCGTCACGAAGCATTTCCTCCTCCATCGCCGTGTTCAATGCGTCACGAACTGTCATCTTGGCATGACAATTCCAAAAAAATCGTAAACAATGAAACAAGTTTTCAGAGCACATGCGGAAACCAAAAACTCACCTCGCTGGCACCACTGCTTGCCAGTCGACTCTGCTGCTGCCAAGAAGCAGCTATCGATGGAAAAGTCTTCCTTGAAAGAGGGGAAAATGACCGTGTCAACGCTGGGGCAACCCATCCAAAGGCCCTTATTGTTGAGGCCATAGCGGAGTAAGCGATGGGTGGGCGTTAATTGGGGAGAGCGGGAATTTTGAGGTTGGGGGAAAGAAAATCTGCATCCGGACATCCGTGGGAATCGCCAATTCGTTGCTCCTTTACATCCAAGTCCATCGTGTGAAGCCTTCCCAGTCGATCTTCAGCTCGTCTGCTGGATGTTTATTGTTGGATGACAAGCCATGACGACGTTACGGTTACGCGTATCATATTTTGATATTAAGCTTTTTATCTTCTATGTGCTAGCTGTTTCACCACCTCACTATGCTATAGTACTTTTAATTTTTTTATTCCCTTATTGGTTATGTCTGATGTCTTTTCTGCCTAGTAGCTACTGATACCGCGTCTGCGGTTATTGCTATCCATCGATCTGTTTTTCCCTCTTCTCCATCTCGAGCGTCACCGCTGAGTACCACTATATCTTAGCCTCTAGCTCTATGAAGCGTGCGAATGTTTGCCCTAAACTGGGATTCTTTGGTGGAACCTCCAGCAGCTTACGCGGGCTTGAAGGCGTGGAACCTTTGAAAAGTGCTTCCTTCACACTTCAGAGGCGCTATATTTCTCTTTGAGGCCTCCGCATTGGCACCTGACTCGGAGCAACTCTAGAAGGACCGAAGACGTCAATATTAACTTACGTGCTCCTCGATCTGCAGGGATCTACGCGTTCGGGTTATACGATACGACGCGAGGGCAAGCAATGAATGAGCAATTGTTTTCCAACAGCTTCTACGGTTTCATTCTTAGACAAAGGATGCAGCAGCCCGGAGGTTGAAAGGCTGGCTACTCGTCTTCCTGGCTAGTAGCGACAGCAGCTTCATCAGGCAGCTTGGCGAACGGTTCCCGGTGATCTTGAACGAGCAACTGGCTCCGGCCGGCCGGGCTCGGCCACTACAATTAGTGAGAGTAAAACTTATTAATATGCTGCACGTTTCACCTAGTTTCGAGCTCTTCGTCGTCCCCGCGCGTGGTACCGAAAATCTTCACGAAGCCAGCCAACTTTTCCGGAGATAGTACTTTCGGAATTCTTTTGAAGGAATCGTTGCCCTCTTCCTGAACGAGTACCGGCGGGACAATCATAAACGTCCGAAGGTAGAGGTCCAAGACGATGGTCAGTTGAATCATGAGGGCCAGGCTGATAGTGGCGAAACCCACAGCACCCTTTAGATCCAGGATAGATCATGTGGGTTCAAGGCACAGGGCGTGGCACAACCGAAGCTCAGATCGTCTCAGGGCCCTTCATGTACGCCATTCGCGAGTCCGCGAGTTGCTTCAGGTATAGGACGTGGTTCATTTGACGGTGAGCCTCCGAAGCCCTCAAATCGCGAAGTGTATTAAGCAAGAACTCAGACTCAACTTATGGGGGAGCGAGGTGGGCCAGATTAGTCGAAGCATTACAACAGCAACCTCCTAACCGCAATGTGTATTATATGCAAACTCCTGGGTAGGAGTCTGTATTATATGCCCTTTCGAGTTTGCTGATTGAGTAGCAGATCTTTCGAAGATCCGCAATGTTTAAAGAGCGTTGGTGTCAAATTGACTTCAGTGTCTTCGGCCAAGGAAAATGTACCCCACGTCGGTGAGCCCGATACTGATGATAAAACTCATAATAGTCCAACGGGTATCTCCAGCTAGTTCCCATAACTTCGAGTTGCGGACTTCCTTCAGTACAGGGCAAAGATCACGGCTAGCTGAGAATCTTGAAATTGTTTGATGCACAAGGCCATCGCATTCTGAAGTCTTCGTCCCAGTAGGAAGCATGCAGCGGTACATTGAGTTCTGCGCGCGATGATCGGACTAACCATACCACTATTAACTCTTGAAAGTGAAAGGGTTCTTGAGGATGGCCATCGCGGATCATCGAAGTCATCCGACGGGAATCTGAGCATGATTTGCGATATTAGTAGCTAGCTTTCAGAATCCACGAACGAGTTTCAGCCCCCGAAACGCAATCAGCATGTTCCTCCAGCCATACTGCGCATCACAACCTCAGCAAGGGATCTCCTGGTCAATATCACTCAGAGAGCAGACACAATAATGTTGTGGTACTGTGGGCTCTAGGGATGCTGTGGTTCGGTTCGCGAATGGGTCATAAATGCAAACCCGACACTCACACTCTAATATCAATATTCTTTCACTGGCACACCCCCTAGCACCTGCATAGGAGTTCCTTGCTCAGCCAGGTGTGGGGCCCTAGTATAGGGTACCCATTCTGCGCTACTAAGCCGACCCAACAGCGCATTTTCAATAAGGGGCATCTTGCCACACGCATCATGACATAAGCCGTGCTTGGGGCCCAAGTGTGCTCGGGGGCCCCCAGATGACAGAATACAAATTCCTCACAAGCGAGAGCTTCGAGTCACAGCCTGCATCATAGCACGTGGTGGAAAGGGGCCCCTTGTTGGTTGAGTGGGCTTAGCAGCGCAGAATTATATTAGGACCCCAAACGAATGACAGTGTAAAGTCGAATGAAAACGAAATGTACTAGGCGTCGAAGTTAGGTTCAGGACGGAAATGAAATGAGGAGAGCTAAACTATGGAAAATAAGAATGAAACGGAGTTCATACCCCGTGAAGCGGATCCGCAAGCCAATCGGACTGAACGACATAACACCCCGGCCCACCGTGTCACGTCAGGTGGCGCCAATATATGTTGAACATTGTGGTGTGTTAGTCGCACCATGCATCTCCGGGCTGTGCTCCCCTTCACCCAGTTCTTCACGCGCGAATCCTGGGTGGTACCGGCTTCTGTGGAGGAGTTCCGCTACACAACATTCAGCCTTCCTCTGTCTACTGGGACCGACCCTATCTCTAAGTAGTGCAACAAGTTCCAAATCACTGTGCCACTGTGTCCCCCTTGTTAGTGGGAAGCTGCAAGCTCTAATCTTTACGCTGCAATTCATCCAGTACTGGCAACTATGATCGCCGAACACGCGCGGTGTGATCAGCAGAAGCAACGTATAGAATTGGGGTGTGCATTTAGCACCATCCCAAATTAAGACAAGGCATGAGGACGCATATAACGCTTGGCAAGTCTTCGCAGTCAGCGTGGCATCTTCATTGCCTATTTCTCAGGTCGCCTCGCCAAACAGATGGGTATGTCTGTTCTCGAAAATCTCCAAGGCGGTTACCTTTGTGGGCTCGTTCTTGACACCATGTGCGTTACCGACAACATCATCGTGAACGACAGCATTTTCGCTTTTCCACTAGTGCTGTATTTACGTACTTATTCCGATCACTCCATGATCTTTCTCTGCGTTAGACTCCTTGGTGCAATCACCGTTCAGGTCTTCCTCTATTACCATAGGTTCCCCAAGGATCATATCTCTTTGAAATTTACCGTCGGATTCTTGTGGTGAGTGCTGACTGATTGAGTGATTTTCTCAATGCGCGGTGTACGGGTGATTGACGTTTCGTTTGGAGGTTCATCCAGACATTTCAAGTGTAAGTCAAAAAGCCTCATCGGAGATACGTTCCAAGGACCATCCCCTCTCCAGGATGGCTTCGACAGCCGCAGCGTACAGAGTACACGTTCGCCACTTCGGGGTTCGGCGGACAACTACAGTATGGTATGCTCCCCCACAAACGCATTAGAGTGCTGGCGTAACACTACTCACACAACAGGAATGATACCTTCCATCAGATATCTATCGTAAGACCATAATCTCACTTAGCCCTGGATCGAGTTTGCCTGTGGTGGTCACGCACCCACTATAATTCCCATTAGATTATCTGTTCCACTATTGTGCAATTTTACTTCGGCTTCCGTCTCTATCGATGTAAGTTGATCTCTCCTCTTCGTCCATGGACTCCTGTTATTCACTCTGACTCTGAATTTCGCCCAGTTAGTGGATCCATCTGGCTACCGATGCCGGTCGTACGTAGTCACCTGTTCTTCATATGAATATTTATAGATCCTCATTGACAGGTCCTCTTGACTCTGGGGCAATTTGGTGAGTGGACCTGTGTGGTCACCTTTTAAAGTGTCTGATGCATACCTTAACATAGGAACTGGACTCGGTAAGCGGCCGCGCAAATTGTAGAATCAAGAGGCTTCTGAGATTCTCCGTGTTCTGCTCTCACTATACACAGCGATCTGGATCAAAGGGTATGTTGAGCTTTTTCAAATAGTGACGGATTCTCAATGATCTCATTTTCAGAAATATCACCCACGGTCTTGAAAGCCTTGTCCGACCCGTTCGCCACGTCGAGATAGCTTGGCTAACACTGGAGGTACGTCCGCTCTATAAGCTGACCGAAGAATTTCCATCATGTGAAATTTGTAGGTACTGGCGGACCTCGTGATTGCCTTTGCTATGTCATATTTCCTCCTGAACCGCCGCACAGGATTTCGGCAGTGAGCAAGTTCATCTCTGGGTTGACGGAAGCAAGGTCTGAAGGCAAACTTCCCACAGGACGGATACGGTGCTACGAAAGTTAACAGTATATGCCATCAACACTGGCCTCCTGACTAGGTACGATTTGTTGACTTGTTTGGGAAGTAGCTTCCTGACTCAGCCCTCCTTTATTTCTATCACCCAGCGTTCTGGCATTGGCGGTCATGTTTTCTGTACAGCTGCTTCCAGCTCTTATGATGCACCAAGTGGCCCTGACGCCTTATCTCCGGGTAGTTTGTATTCTATGGATTCCACTTCGTCCACATGATTTCCATCGTAGTAGGTTATATTTGCATTCCAGCACGGAGACCTAGCTTTACAGTGCAATATGCTTAGCCGCTTGGAAGTGTCTATACCGCCTCCTTTTTGGCAAAGTATGTGTATTCCACCATGGGAAATGTGCATGGCCCGTGGCAATGCGAAACTCCCAGCAAACTGACAGTCTGCTTCACGTACTAGTCTACATTCGCGCTCGAGACTTCGGAGAGAACTTCATATCGCAGAAAACGGGATTTCAATACACCTATCTCGCCTGCCTGTCAAGGTCACAGAAATGTGTCTACAGTCCACTCCGTCACAGCTGATGCAACCTTTTTCACTAGATACGCAACCAGATAAGCGCGGCCGCTTAGTGTGTGGAGGTGGTGTTAGCCAGAGGCAATGGAATGCACGGCAACGAGTATTATCAGTGGAACATACATGGCATAACAGGGTTGTGCTAAGGGATATTAAGGTCCACGGACTGAGGCGGTGGCTCATCCAACAGGAGGGGTGTTATCTGGACAAAGACCATGCCCTGTCAGTAGATGCGAGATCCATCTATCGCAAGCACAGATAGAGCGGAGCGCCAATGAGTGATTCAACATGTATCATTGAGCCCAGTGATTTGATGAATATGGATTAAGTCATAGGAGAGTTTTCGGCGTTAGAAGTGATCATAGGTGGTCCAACCAATCCGCCTATATTTTCTTTGCTGTGGGCAACCGAATTACTTAAGCGGGGGATTGGCATCGAATTTCATCGTCGTATATATGCGTTAAGTGACTTCAATTTTTCCCTGTTTGGAGAAACAATTCGTTCTCTTATTCCCTGTCGCGTATGTACAGCGATAAGACACTAAGGCACAATACGTCTCCTCTGAATTTGTATCGGAGACGCTATCAAAAAACTTAAAAAAGCGGGCGCTTGCCCCATCGTGTCACGGGGCCGTTCATCCCTGCTTAAGACTTCACTCCTGTAAATCGAGGTCTCATCCACCTATTGACACTCAACTCCTCTGCTGCTTTTCAAACATTTTTCACCCGTGTCATTACAGTACGGCATACTTTAAAATGAATAAGTACATCCATCAGGTGACTTCTAAGCTCTGTCATCGATCTTGAGACCCTCACAGCAGCTGAAGCGCTTACTCGACGGCACACTTTAAGTGCACCTCATGTGCGACGATCAAGCCCAGACACTCCCAAGTCGAGACTCCTTTCATTTGTCGTGGTGCCAACCTAACTTGGACATGTAGGGCCTAAACGGTTCGATCGGGGAAAAATTTGCGCCAAATGCAATTCTGTTACAGGAAACCTCGTGGTTCGACATTCCGTCTACTGCAAGTAGGTGTTGTCACAGCGCTGTAGCGCTTAGTTTCAGGTTCATTTCAGATGTCTAGGGCTTGCCTTGTGTCCACTGTATCCCTAAAAGTCAGGCGGGATCTAGATCGTGCTCTGGAAGGATTTACCTCAGGATCAGGAAGGGGAAATGTTTTAATCGGGTATTCTGGTGGCGCCGGTTCATCGATGCTGGCAGACATAGTGAGACGCGAGTATATAGACACGTCACTCTCCCTCGTTCAGCCAATGAAGCGCCAGGGTTCCAAAAAGCCACCGAGTTGGCGGTCCTCTGTTTGGAATAATGCGTATATCGCTTACGTGGATCTCTCTGCTGCGCTGGGAGGGAAGGCAGGCCTCAGTTCAATCATGGAACTAGCGAAGCATTATCCTCAATACACGTTGGTCAGTCTGCATGTTCAAGATGCGTTCGATCCGGCGTGGTGGCACCGTGTAACAGGCCAAGAACTGAGTGCTCTCTTACACCCTAGATTTGAAGATGAAAGTGAGTCATCAGCTATGTTCATATGCCATGGCTCAATCCGTCTCTCAGCAATACTAGGGTGGGATTCGGTGCCGTTTCCCACGCCGGATGCCGCGCTGAAGGCATTCCTTGATGCCTTACCCTCATCATCTTCAACCGTCATGGCGCTTCGACACCTTCTTCGTGTGTTGCTCCTTTACACGGCCAAGTCATTGGCATGTAGCCATGTCCTGTTGGGAGACTCGATCATTTCCCTATCTACCTCATTGCTGTCTAGCATTGCCTCCGGCAGTGGTCATGTGTTGCGCCATGAACAAACCGAACAATGGGGAGACATCCACATCCTTCGGCCGATTGCTGGCCTCACTACTAAGGAATGTGCAGCTTGGGTTCATTGGAACAGGATACCTCTACTGCATGGCATTCATGGTCTCAATGGGGACAGTAGTATTCAGAAACTCTCGGCTGGTATGCATATCTGCCACTATATCTGTGGATCGGGATCTAAGTTATAGACTTTTTACATGATCTCGAGAGAGATTTCCCTTCAACCTTGTTTACTATTGTTAAAACCTGCAATAAGGTTGAATCCCTATCCATACCCCTATCACCCTGCATATTTTGTCTAAGGTTTGGACCAATGTTTGTGTTCATGATTCATTAACCCAATTATGCATTCAAAGGCCCAGACCTGCAGGCGTGGGAACATGGAGGTCACATACAGCAATCAGGTCAAGGAAACAATGTATATTGGTGCCTGAAGAAGGTGATTTAAATTTGTGCCCTGCTTGCCAAAGAGCCATGCTTGGTTTGGGGCAGAGAGGGGATGTGGCAATAGATTGGATCCCATTTCCGGTATGGGTGAATTTCAATCAGTCATACCCCCAAGTGCAGGGGCAACATGACAAGTAGATGTCCATCATGAGGCCTGTATATGGCCATGTAAGGAATGGACAGGGAAGGGATGATGCATGCACTGCTTTTATTCTTTATTCTATAATAATCTTCAGACTAAACAATGTATAACAACTGTATATACATATATAGTGTCTGGGGTTGGGAAAAGGGATTCCTTGCTCTTCTCCCCCCCTGTGTCAGGGATCAGCAATGACCCTGGACCCTATGCTGGCTGCGCATATGCGTGTGGGAAGTATGCCGGCAATTCCCGTCTACTCCGCTTACCTAAGCCCTGGTGGCCCAGATCATCTCCGGCATTGTTCTGGAACATTCTATGATCATGTGATTCTATCGGCAATCCATTTGGTTTCCTTATTGCCGGACTCTACATGTATATAGCTGACCCTAAGATGGGGACACTCCTTTCCCCTGGCTTTAATCACAACTAGGTTATCGGAGCAACCTGCACAAGCACGCACGTCCCCTGACACCCTGTTGAATACTAGCTCCATACAGTCTAGCTTCTCAACAGTCTGAGGATTGAGGAGTCACCAAGGCCAGCACAACTGGCCTTATGGTCCAAGAGTCTTCTAATCAGTGTGTTCAGAGGGAAGATATTCTACCTTACTAGTACTGGTGATTGCTATTAGAAATGTTAGTGATTTATGCTAGCTGTTAGAGATGGGTACTGTCATATCCATCTCCCACCACCACCTTCCATCACCTCCAGCCATCCCAGATTGCCTCTGCTCTGCCATTCCCAACCTCGGAGCCCCTGAATCCTGTAATCTCCCCTGACTTCCCCAATGGTCACCACTCCCCCATTTCAATATTTTACTTACACCTCCCTAAGTATGGAACCCCAAAGGCCTCCGGACAGCTCTGATGTCCACAAGTGCACCTGTCATGACTGACAAATCCTGGGGCTCCATCAGCGGTGAATCAATGCTGATAGGTGAATCTGCTGACCTGAAACCCAATCTAACCAGCCCTCAATCCAATGTCTGGTCCTGTTCCCTGGTTCTTTAGTTAGGATGGGGAAGTGTACTAGTAAAATTATTGTAATTATAGTACCTGTTAGAACTGGGCAAGGGCGGATGATTCCAGAGGGGAACCGGAGACTTAGCAAGGAGGGACCTTGGCCTCAGCAACTCAAGCGGAGCGCTGTGCCATTGCTGTTTGTCCATTTGGTCCTTAATTTCATAGGAGGCGAGCAGGAAGTCTCTAGGGGGCATTTCAGGTTGATTTTAGACTAAGGCCTAAAACGAGTATGTACAAGCACCGATATATATATGGAGGGGGCGAAAGCACAAGGAAACAAAGGGGGTCTGAATCGGAATGAAGGTGTCTGAACAGGAACAAAGGGAAGACAGAAGTGGAGTGGTACCTGTCAGGGATCGGCCCCTGACCCCGCTGTCAGGGCACCCAACCACACCCCAGAACCACCTTCCCAGACTTCCCCCACTTCCCAGACCTCCCCATCCCTACATATCTCTCACAACTTCAGCCCGCATGTGAGCCCACGGGAAAAATCACGTGGGTCAAGGCGAGCAACTCGCCTTAACCCACGTGACACCTTTTCCGAGTCGCGGGAACATGCTCGGCTTCTACCCGGAGTCACGTTATGAACTGTACAGTACACTTCCTTTTTATAGTAGCCAAGTGGGGAATAGGGAAACTTACCCTTCTTCTCAACTCAATCCCTGCTTAGGCAAGTTGTAGTTACCCTCTGTAATACATGACAACTCAATCCCTGCTTAGAGCTGAGGACAGGGTCTAGCGCCCAACCACCCAGAACATCGCACACACCTAGGCCTGAGGTCGGGCTGTCCCTGATCGAGGACCGAGCCCTGACAGCAGAAGAAGGGTTCAACCTACTTCTATCCCCCCCGATGTCGCTGGAAGATCAGATAGCGGAGCTGACCCGCCAGCTCCAAGATCTCCAGGCCCAACTGGCCACCCAGACCAGACCCACAGCCCCAGCCCCGGCCCCTACACCCACTCCGGCTCATAAGCCACCCAAAGTAGCCACCCCTACCCCCTTCTCTGGGTCACAAGATGACATAGACTGCTTCAAGGCAGAGTGTGGACTCTACATGAGCATGCGCCATGCCGAGTTTCCGGACGAACACAGCCAAGTCCTGTTTGTCCTGTCATACATGAAAGGAGGGACTGCCGGACTGTGGGCCACCCAACACATCAACACCCTCCTTGCCCCAGGAGCCCCAGCCATTTCCTTTGATGACTTTGCGGCGGAACTCGATTCTATGTTTGCAGACCCAAACCGACAAGCCACAGCCTGTCAAAAGCTTGCCTCACTCCGACAAGGGAATGAGTCGGTAGACAAACTGATCCAGCAGTTTGAGCTGCACGGCCCAGTGTCACGAATGGGAGATGTTGCTCTTGTGGACCGATTTGAGCACGCCCTTCACCCACGCCTTCGTGAAAACATCTATCGCCTCCGGCCCATGCCCATGACATGGGCAGAATGGAAGTGTGAAGCCTCCCTCCTCGACAATCAGTGGCGACGATTCCAAGCCACCCAAGCTCAAGCCCGCCCCCTGGCTGTCAAGCCATCCCCATTTCACTCCCAACCTCCTCCCGGGCCCGTTCCCCCTCCCGCTGCACCCACACCCTCAGCCCCAGCCCCGAAAGTCAGCCCCCAACCCATGGACCTGGACCGCATCCACCCCCCCAGGACCGAGCAGAGGCGCATTGGACCCTGCTATAACTGCAATCGGCTAGGGCACATAGCCCGAGACTGCCTGAGGCCGAGACCCTATCAGGCCCGGGCCACATTACAAGGGGAGGCCCCTAGGGAGATGACCCGCCTGGCCCCGGAAGACCTCCAGGCGATCGCAGACCTGCTAAAGGACCGCCCCCTCACCCAGGAGCTGGACCGTGCAGAGGAGGAAGCGGGGGAGGAGAGACCTGCTGAGGATTTTCAGGAGGACGACCAGTGAGGGATGTGCCCCAGTCGTCCCCCAGCATCACTGTACCTGCATGTAGATACCATGGCAATTCCAGGACTACAGCGCAACCTAAGTTACACTGAGTGATCGCTAAGAAAAAAAGAGCCACACCCACAAAACCCCGCAGAGAGAACCCACAATGCGCCTCGGCTGAGGTTGCTGTTCCCCCACCCGCGATCTACGTACTATCCAAACGCCCTTCTCGCTCCCTTAACCTTCTGGTGAAGCTGACTGCAACCACCTCTCTCGCCTCAGTGACCACCTCCGCCCTCCTAGACTCAGGGGCCACAGGGATGTTTGTCAGTCGTGAATTCGTCCGGAAGCATGGCCTGGAGACTACCCCCCTACCCCAACCAATCCCGGTCCACAATGTGGATGGCACCCCAAATGAGAATGGATCCATCACGGAGGAGGTGGATGCACTCCTTACGTTTGGTCAACACACGGAGCGAGCTTGCTTTGCAGTGACCAACTTGGGGCGCCAGTCAGTCATTATTGGTCACTCGTGGTTGACACACCACAACCCGGAAGTGGACTGGGCCCGACAAAAGGTCATCATGACCCGCTGCCCACCTGCCTGCCAAAGGCTCAGGGTGGCGCCAATAGCTCTGAAGGAGCCTGACCTCACAGTAGAACCCAGGGATGGACTGTACGCAGCCGTGATTCCCCCAGGATGGGGACACGACCTGAGGGCGACCACCACCCCATCGCAGCGGATGGCCCAAAGAGCGCAGGACCCCACCCCAGGGGAAAAGCCTCTCGAGGAGATGGTGCCCGAGTGCTACCGAGACTTCAGGGACGTCTTCTCAAAAGAGGCCTTTGACCAACTACCACTCCAGAAACCTTGGGACCACGCCATTGACCTCATCCCCGAGGCTAAGCTGCCACAAGGAAAGACCTTCCCACTGTCCCCTGCAGAACAAGGAGAGCTCGATGACTTCCTCAGGGAGAACTTGGCAAATGGGCGGATCCACCCATCCAAATCCCCCATGGGGGCCCCAGTGTTCTTCGTGAAGAAGAAGGACGGCTCCTTAAGGCTGGTCCAGGACTATCGAAAGCTGAATGAGATCACCGTCAAGAACTCCTACCCCCTCCCCCTAGTTTCCGACATCCTCACCCGCCTCCGGGATGCCAAGTGGTTCTCAGCCCTCGACCTCCGGTGGGGGTTCAACAACGTCCGCATCAAGGAGGGAGACGAGTGGAAGGCGGCCTTTGCAACCAACCGAGGGTTGTTTGAGCCAATGGTGATGTTCTTCGGACTGTGCAACTCCCCGGCCACCTTCCAGACCATGATGAATGACATCCTCAGGGATTTCATAGACCGAGGGGTCATCATCTGCTACATGGACGACATCCTGGTGTTCACACCCACCCTGGAGGAGCACCGGAAGGTCGTCTGGGAGGTCCTATCCACACTGAGGGGCCGGAAGCTGTTCCTCAAACCGGAGAAATGCAAGTTTGAGCAGCAGAAGATCAACTACCTGGGCCTTGTCATCTCGGAGAACCACGTTGCCATGGACCCAGTGAAGGTTCAGGGAGTGACTGACTGGCCAGCACCCACGAAGGTCAAAGAGGTCCAGTCTTTCCTGGGGTTTGTCAACTTCTACTGCCGCTTCATCCAGGACTTCTCCGAGAAGGCCCGGCCCCTTCACACACTCACCCGGAAGTCGAAGCAGTGGACCTGGGGGAGAAAGGAACAGGAAGCATTTGACGGGCTGAAGGAGGCTGTCACCTCAGCACCGGTCCTCACCTTCCCATCGGACTCAGGTCAGTTCCGACTGGAGTGTGATGCCTCCAACTTCGCAACAGGGGCGGTACTCTCCCAGCTCCAGACAGATGGGGAATTCCACCCGGTGGTGTTCATGTCAAAGGGCTTCTCAGATGCAGAGAGGAACTACGAAATCTATGACAAGGAGATGCTTGCCATAGTCCGAGCCCTGGAAGAGTGGCGCCATTTCCTTGAAGGCACCCCTGAGAGGTTCGACATATACACCGACCACAGAAACCTCTCCTACTTCCGCTCAGCCCAGAGGCTAAACCGGCGTCAGGCATGGTGGTCCCTCTACCTCTCCCGCTTCCACTTCCTGCTAGTCCATAAACCAGGGAAACTCATGGGGAAGCCCGATGCCCTCTCACATCGGCCGGACCACCCGAAAGGGAAGGACGACAACACGGACATGACCCTCCTACACCCGGGCTGGTTTGAAGTCAGAGCTATGGAGGGGGTCACAGTGGAGGGAGAAGAGGCAGACATCCTGGACAGGATACGCAGGGGGAAGGAGCATGACGAGGGAGTGGTAAAGGCAATGAGAGAGCTGGAAAGGGGGACCCTACACTCAGATGAATGGGAGAAGGAAGGGGAACTGATCCTCCACCGGGGCC